CTTTACATCATGAAAACTCTCTTTGAGAAAATGAATAAGTAAATTAAAATGCATTTAGTAAGCACTTAGCATGTGTCAAGCACTCTGAATACAGATATAAAAGTGAGGCAGTCCTTGTACTCTGGAAGCTTACATTCTATTAGGTGAAGACAGTACCTGTGGGAGAGTGGGAGGCAAAGGAAGAATAAAGAAGCAAAGGAAGGTATGTTTGAAGTAACATGGTTTAGAGATGGCCAGGAAGTGTTATATATGGTGAGCTGGTTCTGGACAAGAGAAGATGAAAGCTTACTTATCAAACCCGGGGTCCCAGAGGCAGAAATCAATAGCCCTGGTGGGAGGCAGAGGACTAGCGTATGGGCAGCATGGTTTGGAAGTGGCCAATAAGCCGTGGACATGGTGAGCAACAAATAACATCACACACAAAAAAAGAAATTACATTCAATGATTACATTTAAACAGGCAAGAAAAGACTCATTGTTGATTTGGTAAATTTCCTAAATGAATTGTTTATAAAATCAGACCATCAACTTGTCAGAACAAAAATCAGAATTAGTAAAAAGGTAGAAGAAAGAATATAGAGAAATAGAGAAAAAGATATAACATACAATTGAAATAATTTAGTACTGACCTGTTTAAATAACTAGGTGATAATCAAAATGCAAAATGGAATTTAACTGATGTAAATCAATTGCTACAGCAAGAAAACCAGAAAAGCCCAGAAAGTGCCTTAGCAGACTACATATTTGCCAAGCAGAGATGGCAGCCAAAGACAATACTGGTTTAGAATGTAAATTGATTTGTAAAATCTTTCCAAAAAAATGATGGATGATTATGAGCAGTACCATCTCATAATGGAGAGAGAAGCACCAGAGGGTAAAATCAGTTTAAAGAAAATTTGGCAGGAGACCCAGTTTGAGGAAATCCCAGTGGCATTTAAAGATGAATATTGAAAGTGACTACAAACTGAAGAGAAAAAAAAAAGAGCTGCAAAGATTATTATGATAAACTTTTTGCCCCCAAGGACATTAGAACCACTGCACATGGACTCTAGCATCACAGTATCGCATGTTTGTGAATGAAATGAATGATGTTTGTGAATGAAATGGAAAAAAAAACCCTGGAAGAATGGCCAAATTAGACAAAATATATGTGGAGGATCTCCATTCTAGAAAAGACATCGTTGTGAGGGTATTGAAGAGTTGATGCACAAGGTATCATCTAAAGGATGGGAATATACTAAATGTGTGCAGAGTCTTACTAATACCTTATTAAAGCCACAACTGGGAGTGAGTAAGTTAATAACTACCAACCTACATGCTTAATTTCCCATTTTTGTAAAATGTTTATTCATGAATTGAGGGCATCCTTATTGTGGACATTAGTACGGAACAAGTAGCTTTTTGTGAGCAGTATTCAACGATGGACTACATATTTACCATTTCATAATTGTATGGAAAATATAGAGGATACAAACCCCTATTATGCTTATTGTTTGCAGAGAAAAAGCTTTTGTTTCAGTAGAACAAAATGATGCTTTAAAGATTCCTTTCTAACAAAGAGAAGATGGCCAGGGGCTGGACTGGGTACCTTCCATCTTGTCCTAAAGCACCCTTTCCCTGTCCTGGGAGTCTACCACTTCTGGATGGCCCTACATTCTCTCCTGCCTCAGGTGAGAAGAGTGAGAAGGGAGTCAGACCTTCCTCTCTCTGGGTGCATGTACTCTGAAGGAAGGTGGCAAGGAGCCAGACCAAATACCTCCAAAGGGACTTCTCCCTACACTGGAATCTACTACTTGTTGCCATGTCACCTTCTGAAGACCAGGCTGAATTCCATCTATGCCAGCATACAAGGCAACTTCCCATCTCCTGCTACCAGCTGTGATATAAAGAACTACCACCATCTCTATCATTCAGTAACTTCTCCTAAGGTTCATGCAATTCATCTCTGCCACCCAATCAAAATCTTGGTAGCTACTGTCTGCAGACTTCCAGATCGTTGTCCTAATTTAGTAAATTGAGTACATGGCTTACAATTTTTCTGTCCTCCCCAACTCCTGCCCTCATACTAGGGGACTTACAACAAGCATACTGACTTTTCCTCAAACTCCCTAAACACTCAATTCCTCAACCTGTTCACTTCCCATGAGCTACTCCTCCACCCTGCCTCAGCCACACACAATGGTAGTTATTTCCTTGATCTTGCCATCACAACCTCAACTGGGCCCTCCCTGCTAGGCAGTTCTACTTTACCTCCCTTATTAACTCGCTATCCCACTCTCCACAGTGGCTCTTTGCTTTCAGCCTTCCCCCACCTTCAGCAGAGAACTTTGCCTCATATTTTATAGGGGGAAAAAATGAGTCATTTTCTGTGAACTCCCTCTTCTTTCCTCTTCCTCATTTCATCACTTAAATAACTTCTGCCCCTATCTTCTCAACCTTGTTTCACATGATGAGGTGGCTGTACTCCTTATCAAGGCTAACCCTTCTATCTCTTCAAACGCTTCTATTCCATCTGGTCTCTTAATAGATTGCCTCCTCTGTCATCCCCACTCTATCACTTATCTTGAATTTCTCCCTTACTACTGGTTTATTTCCTGTCTACAAACATACCAGGTCCCCCCATCCTCAAAAAACCCTCATTGGATCTTTTTATCCCTGCTAACTGTCATGCTTTATCTCATCTGACCTTTGTGGCTAAACTCCTTGAAAAGGTCATCTATGATAGGTATCTCCACTTTCTGTCCTCCTACTTTCTTCTTAACTATTTACAATCCAACCTTATCATTCCACCAAAACTGCTCTTTCCAAAATTGCTAATTATCTCTTAACTGCCAAATCCAATGGCGTTTTCTCAATTCTTACTCTCCTTGACCTTTCTATGGCCTTTGACACTGTTGATCACTCTCTTCCTGGATACTCTCTTCTCTCTAGGTTTTTGGGACACTAGTCTTTCCTGGTCCTCTTTCTACTTATCTGATCCAATCCTTTTCAGCCTCCTTTGCTGGATCCTCATCCAGATCATGCCCTCTAAACTTAAGTGTCTCCCAGGGTTCTATCCTGGGCTCTCTTCCCTTCACCCTCTATACTACTTCACTTGGTGATCTCATCAACTCTCATGGATTTAATTACCATCTCTGTGCTTATGATTCTCAAATCTACCTATCCTGCCCCAACCTCTCTGCTGACCTCCAATTTCATATCCCCAACTGCCTTTCAGACATCTTGAACTAAATGTCTAGTAAGTCATCTTAAACTCAACATGTCCAAAACAGAACTCATTATATTTCCCTCAAACTCTCTCCTGCCCGCAACCTTTCTTACTACTGTCAAGGGCAATACCATCCTCCTAGTCTCCTATGCTGGCAATCTAGGAGTCATCCTGGATTTCTCACTATCTCTCACCATCCCACTCCTAATCAAAGCTGTTGACAAGGTCAGTTGATTTTACCTTTGCAGCATCTCTTAAATATTCCCCCTTCTCTTTGATACTGCCACCACTCTAATGCAAAGCCCTAATCACCTCACCCCTGGATTATTGCAATAGGTTGCTGGTGGGTACGCCATTCCATTACTCCAATCCAAGTCTTTCCTTACCCCAATCAATTCTCCATTCAGTCACTAAAGTGATTTTACTAAAGCACAGCTTCATCCATGTCAGTAAACTCCAGTGGCTCCCTGTCACCTGTAGGATCAAATACAAAATCCTCCATTTTGTGTTCAAAGCCCTTCATAACCTAGCCCCCTCATACCTTTCCAGTCTTCTTACACCTTACTCCCTGACACATACTCTTCAGTCCACTGATACTGGACTTCTGGCTGTTCCACGAACAAGACATTTCACCTCTTGGCTTCGTGCATTTTCTCTCTGTCCTCCATGCCCGGAACACTCCCCCTCCTCTGTTCTGTCTGTTGGTGTCCCTTGCTTCCTTTAACCCCTAACTAAAATGCTCTCTTTTGCAGGAAGCTTTTCCAAACTGTTCTTAATTCTAGCCTTCTGTGAGCTATTTCCTATAAATCCTTTATATAATTTATTTGTGCGTGTTTGTTTGTATCCTCCCCCATTAGACTGTCAGCTCCTTCAGGACAGGTGCTGTCTTTTACTTCTTTTTGTGTCCCAGTGCTTAGCACTGTGCCTGGCACATAGTAGATGCTTAATAAATGTTTATTGACTGACAAAGTAGTTGCCATCTGAACACTAAAATCAAGATGGTAATTTATTAGCCAAATTTCAAGGAACGTCTTTGTATACTTATTGGTGGATGGTAATTTGAAAAATGAATGTCATGATTTAATAAGTGCAGTCAACAATGTACTTCTTCCATTTGGATCTCTGCATCTTTGTGAGGCCTTTTCTTCAGCTATGACAGCTGTTAAAACTAAGGATTGGAGTAAGTTGAACTTAGAACCAGACCTTCAAGATTAAAAAAAAAAAAGAAGAATGAAGCCTATTTGATCACATTGCTTTCACTGAAAATACTAACTAATATGTTTTGGGAAGCACAAAAATGTTTTTGTATTGTCAATAAATAAAATAATTTAAAATACTGTTTATTTTATTACATTCTTAAATTTTTTGCTGTATACAATATTTGTACAGTGGCACATGTATATAATTTATAAACAAATATATATTATGTGTTTTATATATAGTATAACATTCATATTCATAAATATAAAAATAAATATATTGGTGTATGTGATCAGAAATATTTTACTAATGTGGTACAGGATCAAAAACATTTGGAAACCACTCCAAATCGTTGAAAGTTGTATTTGGGATTTTTTTTTTTGTCCTAAGGGCAAAACAGTAAGTGGGCAATTACAACCCAGACTTTTGCTTTTAAGGCTTGTTACATTGATTCAAGATAGTACTGAGCACTTTTAGTACACTGGTAATTGCTAATGATCTCCTGTGCCTTTTAAATGCTTTTCTTTCTTCCTTTCTTTCTTTTCTTTCATTCTGATGACTACTGTTCTTTGAACTGCCCTTTTCCAAAACAGGCATTTGGAACAAACCAAGAGGATTATGCAAGTTACATCATGAATGGTATCATCAAATGGGGTGACCCAGTCACTAGAGTGCTAGAAGATGGTGAGCTGTTGGTGCAGCAGACTAAAAACAGTGACCGAACACCTTTAGTTAGCGTTCTTTTGGAAGGTAAGAAAGGTGATGGACTGAAGTGTTAGTAACCAGAAATAGAATATGAGCATGATACAGAACCATAGCCTTTTTATGAATACTTAGTAGGGTTTTTAGAAATATTACTCTGAGACTTGTTTAGTTTCTAAAATGATAAGTGAGTCTTTTACAACCTTATTGCACATAACTTGACATTTTCCTGCTATTAGTAGTTTCATGGAATAATATTTATAATTCTTCCCTCCTCTAAACTCCTTTTTCACTTAAGGTCCCTACTATCCACTTATCACTAGATTATAGTTCTCTGTTACTTTCTAATTACTTTGCTGTGGTGGTTTAGTCTTTCCAACTGGATTATCAGTACCTTGAAGGTAGGACTTTAGTTTTAAAAAAAATTTTTTCTTGTGTCACCTCAAGAATTTAGCCTACTGAAAGAAAGAAAAGGTGCCAAATACCTACTTTATCAGTGATACAAATTCACTTTTACCTTGTGAGATAGATGAAAAGAGCCTTTCTAGAGAGAATTTTTCATAACTTTCATAAGCTCTGTATCTTGTGACAGATACAGGAAAGTTGCATAATCTTGTGGATAAATCTTAGTGTCAGAGGACCTAGGCTGATGTGCTGTGTAATTTCTGACAATATGATTTTGTACTGGTCATTTAACCTGAGTGAGTCTATTTACTTAAATGAAAAATAGAGATATTTTACAATAGAAGTACGTGACCTTCCCTTAGAGGGAGACTTGTAGTGTGGGCCAGGTGAGCTCGATGTGAAGTACTTTGTAAACTGAAGCAGCGCAAGTATCAGGTGATCTTCTAAGGAGGAAGGTTGGCTGATAGCATCTTAGAGTTTAAAAAGGTTTTCTAACAAATTGAGTCTTTAAGGATAAACTTATATGACAAAACCCCTTTCAAGAGTCAGTTTTGTGACTGATCTTCATCAAAAGGAAAGGTTTTTTTCAGTATGTCATCTTTGGGAAGGGAATTGGTTTTTTGATGATCATTTCTCCCCACAACCATCAATTAAGATATAAAATTCTTAGAAACAAGTAGTTTGATAGACCTATGATGACAAGCATTGATATAGATTGAGACTTACAAAGATTTTCATGGAGAGGAGGGGGTAATAAAACATTTTTAGTTAGAAAACTTAAATTTTATTTGTTTAATCAAGTTGTTTTTTTTAAAGACCATAAATAGGGACATATTTTTAACCATATGTGGGGGGGAATGATAATCAGTTTATTAAATATAGGTGCTGCTGAGACAGAGTGGCTACCATGAGGTTGTGGCAGGAAATGTTAGGGACTAGTTTAAGGCCTCTCTACTCAATAATAAAAGTTTAAACTTTGTTTTATTCTCCTTTGCTTAGCCCAGCGTTTTTTACTATACTTGCTGATGTGTTGTGTCTTTATGCAGGCCCTCCTCACAGTGGAAAGACAGCTTTAGCAGCAAAGATTTCAGAGGAATCCAACTTCCCCTTCATCAAGATCTGTTCCCCTGATAAAATGATTGGCTTTTCTGAAACAGCCAAATGTCAGGCCATGAAGAAGGTATCAAAATTTTTGCTTTAATTTTAATTCCTTTTCGTTTGGTTTTACATATTTGTTATAGCGACAAGATGCTTCTTGAATACAATAGTCTCCTGCCAAGTATCTGAAGTAATTGAGGGGAGCAGTGGTTTGAATATTTCAGAGGTTATCAATAACTAACTTTGGAGTGCACTGAGTGATTATTTTCTAGTAGATTTAACTTGTTTATTATGTTTTTTTAAAGCAGATGTTAAAGTTAGTTGTCATTCTTTGAGTATACATTCACTGAGGACAAGAGAGGGAGAGGTGGGCATTGAAGGAGTTCACAGGACTGTGCTGCTTAGCGCTGGAAATGGGAAAAAAAATACCATGTTATGATCTGCAAACCAGATTTTTTGAACATGAACAAAGAACAGTCAAATTGAAGATCAGATAAGTAGTATTGTGAGAGTGTTCTCAATGACTAAATGAGGAAGTCTGGATGCAGCCTGTGATTCATAGTCTTAATATCAACTTAAAGCTGTTTTTTCTTCCTTATGTACTCTTTCCTTATATGCATAGCTAAGGAGTGTTATGCTCTATATCAGGACACTGAAGCATCAATGAATAGAAAGACACAGAATAGAATCGTAGAGCTAGAAAATGACCTTAAGAGATCATTTGGTTCAGTTTCTTATCTTCAGGAAAGTCAAAATCTCAGTTATACAAGATGGGTTGGTGTCTGTTCTTTGAGAAAAAGAGAGGAATGGAAAAGGTAAAAATAAACTCCAAGGATAGAGACTTCCACTTACTGTTTGGTAGCCAATGTTTTCATTGATATTCCAATATGCCCACCAACATACCTACATAGAAAGCTTGTGAGTTTCAGTCCTACCTCAGACACTGCCTTGCTCTGTGTTCTGGTGCAAGTCACTTAACCCTTTCCTAGCCTCAGTTTCCTCATATTTAAAATGAGGATAATAATAATACCAAACTCAAAGGGCTATTGTGGGGATCAAGTGAGATAATATAAATAGCTTTTTACAAACCTTAAAAAACACCATATGGATGTTAGCTATACTTGTTATTATTATTCAACTTAATTCTATTTTTTCTTGTTTGCCTTTACAAGGGTATGAACAATAAGACAAGGAAATGTGTGGGGATATTTTGGATTTGAGTGACAACAGTCTTAAAGATTGGATTGCTACCTGGTAAAGTAGTCCAAGATGCTTTTCTTGATAGAATGATAGAATGTATCATTGATACATTTGATACAATGATAGAAGTATCATTGTTTCCAGAGCAAGAATTGGCAAATATGTGGACCGGGATTACCTCAGTATTTCTTTAGGGAGCAGGTAGAAGAGAGAAAATGGCAGATGAGAAGAGATGAAATGTGAGAAATTAGCCTTTTGTCTCAGTAGGTGGCAGACAGTTGCTCTTTGAATGTCTGGAATATATTGTTGGGGTACGGTTTGTATCCAGATTTATTTTGATTAACTACTTCCAGAATATTAAAGGGTTAGGTTTATTATGTGGGTTCTATCTGGTCAGTATAGGTGTATCAGAACTTTGGAATTTTTTTCGTGTTGGAAAAAAAATGTTTAAAGAGCCAAGGAGACAAAAGATATCTATAGAAGCCGAAAAAATTCCCCACTATCAACAAGCGTTTACTAGGCCCTTAATATATGCCAGAAACTGTGCTAAGCACTGAGGGTACAAAGAAAGGCATTAACAGCACCTGCTTATAAGGAGGTCATAGTCTTTATTTTTGTGGGGTGGAGTGTGGGGCCGGGGGGTAAAGGAGAAGTTAGGTTGTTTATTTCCAAAACAATATCAGTGAATATAAAACCAGGTTGGGTAGCAAGCTAAAGTAGAGGGGTGTGTGTGTGTGTGTGTGTGTGTGTTTGTTTGTGTGTGTAGTTAGAGGTGGGGAGTGAGGAATGACTTCTCCTTCTCCCTATCACATATTTTTTTTTCCAACAAGATTGCTCTGCATTTAAGTCCATTTCCCACACCCATAATATATAACAGCAACCAATCACTACCAACCCATGCATCCTTCTACTCCCACTTTCCTTAGGAGAGATTAGGTAAGAACAAGTTAATATTTGTATGTAAGGAAGCTTGACTACATTCTGAGAGAGTCAGAGCCTGGCATCCACAGTGTAGGGTATCTAAAAGGTCCACTAAACACCAGAGTAGATGTCAGAGCAGCTTTCTTTCTGGAATACTCCAGTCTAGCCCTAACTCCCATCCCAGAGGACCCGAGGGCCTATTTAAGCCCCATTCTCATAGGACTAGATGAAAGGGTGACTGAGATGATTGACTAAGATACTTCTTCCCTGTGGTCAGTTCCACACCATCTTCCAACCCCTCCTTCCACCCAGAGCCATTATCTCTTCCTCTTATAACTTTAAACAGTTCCTCTAACATTGATGTGATACACTGAGATATAATATTTTTTAAAATTTCTTTTTAAAACACTAACCTGAAGTACAATAAGCAAACACCTTATATTCTAATGGAAGTCCATAATATGGGCATGAATTGGGCAGGTGGAAGATAATCTTAAAATGGAAGCTGCTAGGAGCTGAAGGGGTAGACAGCCAAGAAGGGCTTCCTGCAGAAGGTAGAATTTGAGCTGAGTCTTAAAAGAAGCCAGGAATTTTAAGAGGGGGAAGAAAGAAGAATATTTCAGGTATGGCAAACAGGCAATGCAGTGGTATGAAGAGAACAAAAGGAATGTTGTGTGTGAATAACAGCAGGTAGGCCAGTATGGCTGGATAGTCGAGTGTGTGGAGCAGAGTAATATGCTGAAGGAATGGAAAGATGGAAATGGGCTTTAAATGCCAAATAGAGGAGTTTATATTTGATCTTAGATGCAATAGGTAGCCATTGTGCTTTATCAAGTTAAGGAAGTGACGTGGTTAGGCCTATGCATTAGGAATTAATTTCAGTAGTTGGGTGTATTTGAAGTAGTAGGGAGAGACTTGAGCAGTTGAGAAGTGATGAGGGCCTGAACTAATATGTGGTAGGTATGTGAGTAGAGAAAGGCAGACATATATGACAGATGTCGGGGAAAAAATCACAAGATTTAGCAACTGATTGGATATGTAGGGTGAGCAAGAGTACGGAATTGAGAATGACAGTGAGCATGAAGGCCTAGGTGACCAGGAAGGATGATAGTGCCCTGGAGAGTAATCGGCATGTTAGGAAGAGGGGTAGGGAGTCCCTAAGTAACATGACCAGCAAGGTGGAGTATTAGACATTTGTAGACATTGTCTCCAACCTTCATGACTTCTCAGACCTCTGCAAAATAGGAATTATGAACAAAAAATAAAACAATTTCAGCCCTCTCCACAGTATAGGATACAAAGAACCCAAAGGAGATAACAGTTTAGTGAATTAAGAACAAAGAAGGTGAATTGTTATTGCTCAATGCTACTCCTTCTCCCCACTCCTTCTAATAGTAGGGCTCCATAAGCCACAGGCTTACAACAGAGATCAACTCTTCATTGCCCTTTTCCCCCAGTGCCTTGGAACACCAAAAGACAGAAGCTTGCTCATGCTGGAACAGCAATGTGGCAGTGTTTTGTGCCACAAAAGAGCTCTGCCAGAAAAATGAGGAACAGGGACAGAAAACATGTGTGTCTGTGTGGCACTCCACTAAGCCTAAGATGCCTAGCATCCAGCTGAGACCAGTTCTCTCCCCCACCCCTTCCCCCCCATGAAAGTCTTATTGGGGCAAAGACTGAGGCTGAAAAACCATGAATTATGAAGTGTAGGAGGAGGCTGAGATGGCTTTGAGGTTCAGCCCCCGGAGAAACTGCTATCAAAGGGGAGGAAGTCAAAGTAAGCAATAGGAGAATATAAAAATAAGGAAAAAAAAAACTGAAATTACCGAAGAACTCAGGATGAAAACTCAATTACAAACTTTGAGCGTAAGCAGATTCCAACAAGAAAATACTAATAACAAAAGGAATATGGCCTCCAGATCTGGTAAAACAATCCAGACATATCTGAAAAAATATTGTAAAACAAAGGAAAATCAATCAACAGCTGATGAGGCAAAGGACCCCGTGGATTTCCAAAAAAACATGTCACCATAGCAGATGTTTCTGAATGTTTTAAAAGAGAAATAAGAATTGTGAAAGCAGAATTTACAGCATGCTCAGCAGAAATAATTAGAGGAATGGAAAAACTTGAACTTACAGTGGCAAATCTCACCAAAGAAACAAAAGAGAGAATAACTGAATGGAATGCAAATATGTAGAAGTGAAATACAGTCTAGAAAAAGAGAAACAAAAGACAGTAATGTTAATGGAAAACCTGGTTTCCATACACGCAAAACATTTTAATCTCATGTCAGGGTGCATAGAAGCAACTTAAGTATTCTAGGTCTCACATAAGACCAAAGCAAATCAAAAAACCTGAACACAATAATACAAAAAAACTGCCCAAAATTTCTGAACACAGATGGTTTTCCATATTGACCATCTGTGATGTCCATGTGAAAGTAGAAAGCAGTCACCTTTTGGGTTGTTGGAAAAGAGCGTTTGCTATGACCAGCAAGTTATCTTAACAAAACTCTATTATTCTCTGACCTACTTCATTTTGTACTCAAAGGCCAAACTTGCCTGTTATTCCAATTATCTTTAAATTTCCCACTTTAGCATTCCAATCCCCTATGATGAATGTGACATTGTGTGTGTGTGTGTGTGTGTGTGTGTGTATTATTTCTAGAAGATATTGTAAGTCTTCATAGAATCGAGCAACTTTGGCCTCTTCAGGATTGGTGATTAGAGCATATACTTGTATTACTGTGATGTTGAATGGTTTTTGTTGGATTTGAACAGATATCATTTGTTCATTTGGGATATTACACCCCAGTACTGTTTTTCTTACCCTTTTATTGACTATGACGACTATTCCATCTTTTCTAACAGTAGTAGTTTCTTGCCCACAGTAGTATATGTAATGATCACCTGAATTAAATTCACCCATTCCCATCCATTTAAGTACACTGACACCCAAGA